GGTCAGCAGTTCGAAACTACCAGCTGTCCCATGGGAGAAAGATGAGGCTTTCTGTTCCTGTAAAGATTTACAGCCTTGGAAACCCTGTATAGGGTCGCTCTGAGTCGGAAACGACTCCACGGCATATAACAAAAACACCAATTTATACATTTATACAACAACAATTTATAGCCTGGGAACACTCAAACACTCTACAAGACCACTATGGATCAGAATAGGCTCGATGGCAGTGGGTGGGGGGTGGGTTCATAAGGCTGCATAGGGATTTGGCATGAAAAAGAGAAAAGCAAGCCCTGATGTTTGCGTGTTGGCACTAAACACGTGACCTTGTGTTCTCCTGATGAACATAGATAATTTCACAAAATACCAACAAGGACACTTTATGATCATGATGGCTGAAGACACAGACAAAGCCATTCCATTAATGTCTGTATGCAGATGAAAACAACATCAAGAATATTTTTCTACACCACAAATATGACCTCATATCCCCTAACTCTAGCTACATTCCTTACTTTCTAGATAAGAATTACTAAGATACCCACTTCCTGACAAGATCAGTACAGAAAGAAACCCTTAAGCCCTCTTCCAAATCCACTTGGCAGCCCAAATTCTGTAACAAGTCCTTTAAACACCCTCTTAGATGCCTTGTGGATCCCTCTGTTGTACATTCACCCTGTTTTAATGAGATAATAAACCTAACTTGTCTGACCACAGATGTATTCCTGGTGGTATCTGTCTGGACCTCACACAGTCATCCTCTGGCACCTTTATCCCTCTTTATTCTTCACAGCCCTGCTCACCACCTGATCCATTCTCTGTTTTCTTTCTCCTCTCTCTCTGGAAAGAAAATGCCCCTGCCCGCCCCCCCACCACCTCCAACAGCAGGAACCAGAGTACAATCTTCATAAAATAAAGTTCCTGCTGTTCATCAAAACCATTGCCTCCATTTCCTATATTTTGCTGTTATTGTTATTAGGTGCCATTGGGTCAGTATGGACTCATAGTGACCCTATGCACAACATAAGGAAACACTGCCCGGTCCTGCTATATCCTCACAATTGTTGCTATGCTTGAGCCCACTGCGGTTGCCATGGTGACAATCCATCTCATTGTAGGTCTTCCTCTTTTTCACTGACGCTCCACTTTGCCAAGCATGATGTTCTTCTGAGTGCCTCGCAACCTAAGGGGTTCATCTTCTGGCATTATCTCTGACAACGGTCTGCTATTGTTCGTAAGGTTCAGTGGCTAAACACTGAGAAGGTAGGCTGGGTGTGGCACTGTGGGATAAAGCACTGGTTCGTTTGAACCACAGGTTGTTAGTTCAAACTCACCACCTACTACTTGAAAACCCTATACAGGGTTGCTATGAGTCAGAACTGACTCCACGGCACTTAACAGAAAACATTGAGAAATAGTCCATCTGTCCTTCTTCCTACTCTGTCTTAATCTGGAAGTTCTGCTGAAACTTGTCCATCATGGGTGACCCTGTTGCTAATTTAAATACCAGTGCCTTAGATTCCATCATCAAAGCAATATGCAAGCTACCACAGCACAACAAACTGACAGATGAGTGGTGGCCCTATTACTTTCTGCAACAATCTAGCTTAAAAAATAACTAGTGCTTACTCATGACAGTACTTTAATATCAAAATTGTTTAAAATCTAATAATCAACATAGTAACTGCCTGCGATGAAATGCTGTCTCCCAGGCAACATGCTATGTTATTTAATTCATTCATTCACACAACTCATATTATTGAATGTCTGGT